TGTATAATGTATGTTTTACATACCAATGATGAATGGCATGGTTATCAGCCCACCCTTTGGTCTTCCTTGTGATGGTTTCTGCTCCATTTTACTCTGCTCTGAAGAATTCTCCATTTCCTTCTATCAGTCTGTGTGTGTGTCTGTGAGAGAGAGAAAGAGAGAGAACCATAGTAGCATCCGTCTAGGAAGATGGTCCTAATATAATTAGTCCCAGTGAGGGATACGATGTGACAGGTTACATTTTAAGTGAATGGGGTCCCACCACTTTTGGCCTTTCCGGCTTGATCAGATATTCTGTTTGAGGGATAAGACTACAGTGGTCCCTTGATTTCATGGACTTTGTAGACTATTTTACTGCTCTGATACTTGACCAGGACGCTTTCGTGGGGCCTAATGTCTAGGTACTTGAATGACCACTTATTAGTTACTACGTATTAGTATAAGATTAATACCCCCTGTAAGAATCGAAAAAATAAAAAGAAAAAGGAATTGAAGTTTCAACAATATTTTGAAAATTTTGTGCTTAATTTTTTTTGTTTTAAAAACTTACGATTTTTCTTTTTTCATCCTAGTGAATTGTTACCGATGAGTCAAGTTAGTTACTCAGCTAAATCATTTAGGTTCGCTGCACCGTGTAATAGGCATAACAAATCATTTATATATAAGCTTGTTTATATATTATACGAATGATCCGTTGCACTGCAATTAACTTTTTTTCTGCAAAGTGGACTTAGACTTGTACTACTCCATAATTTTCTTATCAAATACATAGTATATATTAATGGCTCCATTCAAGAAAGTAATTGAATTCAGTGGAATGTATGACTTACTATTTTGACTTGACTTAAGTAAATTCAATCACATAAAAACCTTTCTCGAACCTTTTTTCAATCTCTTACAGTTTAACTAAAATGCAACGTATTTATTAGACAATTGGGAAATTAAGCCTGATGAATAAAAAATAAAGAATACTTTATAGTGTCCAAAATTTATCATATCAAAATAAATAACACAAATAAGATGGTTTCGATTCTTCTTGAAAATAAGGTGTGTGAGTGAATTACTTTAACTTAAAAAAAAAAAAAAAAAAAAAAAACTTCGACTTCAATCAAATGTCTCAGCTCAATGGAGAACCAAGGCTTCAAATTTTCTAGCTATCAAAGATACAAATAAAATCCCTAAAGTAAAAATTGAAACAAAACATAACCTAATTCTAACTTCAGTTTGGCAAAAACCATATAACTTATTGTAGTAATCCATTTTGTCCCAACCCTTTTCTAAAACCTTTGAGTATTCATGCGATTGCACTCCTTTCCAAAGTATTCCATATTTCTCTTTCGGAAGTTTTCTATGTTGCATTAGACATTTTTCTAAAAATTGAACGCATGTGCAATGATGGATGTAAAGACTTGGACGACATTTCTCTTAGTCAAGTTCCTATGCGTTATTTGTGATGGATTTGAAGACTTGGATAATATAAAATTGCAATTAATTTCGACTGTCTAGTGTCTAATTTGAGTGGGAATCTAATGAATTGCTTTGAAGGTGGCATGGGTTCAACTTTCTAGTTTCAAGTCAAGAAAATAGTTCAGATTTTGGTGCTTTTAGTGGCAAAAAACCATCATTTATTTTGGAGTTGTGCATTCAACTTCGTGTGTTTCACTTAAGAGGAGTTTGAGGATTAAGTACTAAATAATAATTTAATTAAGTGGAGTTTGAGGATTAAGTCCTAAATAATAATTTAATGTATTGGATTTGGTGTGGCTGACGTCCGGCAAATACCATATAACTTCTTGTAGTAATCCATTTAGTCCCAACCCTTTTCTAGAACCTTTAAGTATTCATGCAGGACTTCACTTCTTTTCAAAGTCTTCCATATCTCTCTTTCGGAAGTTTGCTCTGTTGTGTTAGACATTTTTCTAAGAATTGCACGCATGTGCAATGATGGATTTAGAGACTCGTACGACATTTTTCATAGTCAAATCCCTATGCGTTGTTTGTGATGAATTTGAAGACTTGGTTAATTTAAAATTACAATTAATTTCGGCTGTTTAATGTTTAATTTGAGTGGGAATCTAATGAATTGCTTTGAAGGTGGCATGGGTTCAACTTTCTAGTTTCAAGTCAAGAAAATGGTTCAGGTTTTGGTGCTTTTAGTGGCAAAAAACCATCATTTATTTTGGAGTTGTGGATTCAACTTCTTGTGTTTCACTTAAGAGGAGTTTGAGGATTAAGTCCTAAATAATAATTTAATATGTTGGATTTGGTGTGGCTGAGGATTAAGTTTATGTCATTTTATTTGAATATTTTATTTTAAAGGGGAGTTGTCATTTGTACTAAATTAGCTTATATTAAGTTTATGTCATCTTAAAATGGGTTGAATTTTTGTCAGAATTTATTTTAATAAGAAAAATGAATTAAATGTAATTCAACAAGAAAATGCATTATAGTCATTTAATGAAAAATAATTTATCACATGATAGGCATAGAACATTTTATAACAAAATAGGACAGTTTAATGGATATTGTATGCATAGTATAGTTGATGGGGTTATTTGTAAATTTGAACATAGTTAGGGTATAATTGACGGGCTTATTTGTAAATTTAAACTATTTTGTAAAATTGAACATAATTCAATTAATTAATTATTTATTTTTGCACTTCAAGAAAAAAGAAAAAAGAAAAAAAAGAGATGGGTCAAGAGAAACAATCAAAACCCAACGAACAAACAAAGCCCAAGGAGAAAGAAGGCCCATTGGGCAATGCAACCACCAGTATCAACAGCTGTTACCGTAAAGGCACCAAGGTGGGAGAATCAACGGGAATACCACAATCGAAGGATAATACGACATTTTAGCACTGGGATCAAAGAAGGAGTCCGAAAGGTTCCAGGTTGAGGCAACATCTCTCTCTCACAAATGGACAATTACATCGTTTGACAGAGAAAAGGCGCGAACAGAGTCGCTGAGGATTTTTGAATAGTGGCTACAAGACCTGGAGAAAACCCTAGTATTTGACGTGATACACAAAACGGACCAAGGTAAGTTTCCGAACAAGAATTTTATTCGACTTTTTCATCTGTTTCCAATTGGATAAGGCCCAAATGAGGAACTTGTGCCAATTTCTAGGGTTCGTATGGAACCCATACTTATGTTGAAGTGCTGTCAGATTACCTGAAGGGTGAGTTCGGTTGCATGGAATTAGAGTATTGGAATTGAAATCGGTAAAATTTTATCCAAGAACATCTTCATGCTGCCACCTCTCTCTCTTATAACCCGCTTCACTGCACCAAATTGTCCATCCCCAAGCTCTGCAAGATACACAAATGATGTGGCTCCACGCCTATTCAAATCCTAAAGACCCTCATGGTCGTCTTCAGCTCTCCAAGTGCACAAGTCGTTATTGCACCAGAGCAACAATGTTTGCATCAATTTTGCATGATTCTTTATATTTTTCACCTTGATCAGCTTCTTGCTTAGGATAATCATCTTCTTGATAGATGGCCAATTGTTTATGGATAATGGTGATAATGATCACCAGTATTATTCCTCCTATGATAACGATCTAGTAGTTTCTTGGATTTGTGGTGGAGAATCCAAGGAACCACATGGTGGTGTTCTTTGTTCTGTTCTTCAGTCTCATATATGCCTTGTACCCTGAGAGAGAGACGTTGAAGGGGGAAGGTTTAGAAGGATAGATGAGAGACTTAAGTTGGTGCATGTGTTGCAAAGATCCTTTGGTTTTGAATTTAGCATTAGATAGCTGAAATTTGTCTTATGCGTGGCAATAAAATGTACACAAGGGTTGCAATTCTGTTTTTATCTTTGATTTTATCCACTCCAGAATACACATCACGTATATGTAGAGAGATTAATCTTTTCTTTTTATGACCCCTAAAATGTTTAATCTATCTTGATAAAGATTCACCTGTACCATAGACAGGGCTATACACATGGTAGTATCCATTAAACCTTCTTCATGATGCATTTTTTTGGTAGTTCTAAAACCATTAATTTCCAATTAGTTTTCAAATTGATTAAGGTCTAGTTGTGTGTTCAATTAACCCATGGTTAGGTAGTTACACCTTGATATATATATATATATATATATATATATATCTGTAAATTTGTATAGACTAGGAGAAGGAATACACAGCAGCATGGCATACCCTGGGGACAAAACTAGAGCAGCCAAAGCAGAAGCAAACAATCATGCATACAATACAGAACTTTCTCAAAGCTTACAACACCAGCAGAACCACAAACCAACAAGCAATCAACTTACTACTACAACAAGAACTTAAGAGTTAAGAATTAAACAGCAGCTGGACCAAAAGACGAGCTTAACATGTTTCACAATGAAGGTGAATGTACTAGCTAGTTAGATGCAAGCATTCTAGTTGAAGCAGAGTCCTTCAGTTTTAGACACATGAGCTTGAATATGTTGATATTCTTAACATTCCAAAGAAAAGTAGAAGGGAAAATTGAATAGACACAGCAAGCCAGGGCCACTTAATCTGTCAAGGGTTTGGAGACTACCCCAAGCTGGTAACCAAAACACAAAGCCATGTTTTGGAATACGATTTTTAAACCAAATACAGAGCAAAGACAAGAAAATAACTGGAATTTAAGTTTGAGTTCTGGCTCTTACCATTATGCATCAGGACTTCTTTTACTTCCTTGAAGATTTTTCCTGACCAAATTCAGCTCACGTAAGGCATCAGTTATATCCATCCTGTCTTGTGGTGACTCCACGGAGCATGCAACTCCGACCTTGATCATTGACAGCAGACACTCCATTCTGATGCCATTTCTTGATTCTCCAGGAACCCGATTACTATTCGACACTTCTGCTGACTCTTTTTCATCGTCATTCAGAAGTATTGGGTCTACAATCTCCATAATGCGGTCGGGCAAAGCCATCATAGCAAACTTATGAAGGTTAAGGCCTCCCTCAAACATACTGTCGGTAGGCCTTTTCCTTGTCATCATCTCCAATACTAAGATCCCGTAGCTGTAAAATCCCCTTTAGTTGACACTTGGCTTCCCAGACCATACTCTGCCATTCACAAAATTAATGAAAAGAAAATAAATTTTTGACAAAGATAGCAAGCACATTTGAAAAAGATTAGCTATTCAATATTTAGGTTTATGAGCTAAAAACAAATTAAATTCCGATTTAAACAGGTTATATCTATTCACATACATCATTCTAACCAATCAACAAATCCGAAAAAATTTATACCCCTCCTTATATTCCAATGAAATTCTCTCTCTCTCACGCGCACGCACACACCAACACAAGGACTAACCTATATCAAATTTTAATCCTAATAAGCTGTAGTTAGGTATCAAATCTAATTTCTAAGTTATGGTATATTCAATGATGCAATTTGAAAACTAGAAGATGAAGAAAAAGAAAATAAAAAGAAACAATAGTGTATTGTGCATGCTTACCTGGAGCTGCATAACCAACTGTTCCCCTTACTGCAACTGAACTGCTTTGTTTTGGAGTTGTGAGTTGTTGAAGAAACCTTGCTACCCCAAAATCTCCTACATGAGCAACCATGTCACTATCAAGTAGGACATTGCTTGGCTTTAGGTCGCAATGAATTATTGGCGTTTGACAATGATGGTGAAGATACTTGAGTGCAGACAACACATCAACTGCAACATTAATTCTTTGAAGAAGGTTTAGGCTCTGAATTTGATCACTCTCTCCGTTACTAGATGTTGGACTTGGATGCAACCAACTCTCTAGACTTCCATTGGGCATAAACTCGTAGACTAGAGCCTTAAAATCATTTCCTTGAAAATCAATGCTTGAGCAAGAAGTTATGATCTTTACCAAATTTCGATGTCTGATGTTTCTTAATGCTTCACACTCGGCCATGAAACTTTTGGAAGCTCCCCGACGGAGGAGGTTTAGTACTTTGACTGCAACAATGGTTTCACTTGGATCAAGGATTCCTTTGTAAACAGAGCCATAACTACCCACACCAATCAAATTTTCTGAGGAGAACCTGTCAGTTGCTTTGAGGAGCATTTCAAAAGACACTTTCAAGAATGAATCCCTCAACATTATTCCAGAAGGTTGAGCATTTCTTTTCTTTTTAACCCAACAAAACCAGAAAGATAGGACCATTATAAAACCCAAAATTGTGCACGGTATCGAGATTACTAATATGATGAGCACAAGAGAACTTTTATGTTTCCTTGGTTCTTTGATGTTGCAATTTGGTAGTTGAAGTTTGGGTATGCCTCCACAGAGCCTATTGTTTCCTACAAGTGATATTGCACTAGCATTTGCAAAAACTCCTTCAATAGGCACCTCACCCTCAAAATCATTGAAGGATAAATTAAGATTCTCCAAGGAAAATTTCTCCAAGAAACTTGGAATCTGTCCAGATAATTTGTTCCTAGAGAGATCAAAGTTTCGAATACCTCTCAAGGAACTCAATGATTGAGGAACAGATCCGTTAAAGGAGTTTCCCTCCATATAGAGGTTTTCGAGGCTAGTGCAACTCTCAAGACTATTAGCAATTTCACCAGACAACTCATTCTCAGATATATCCAACTCCTCCAAATTTTTTAGGTTGCCAACCTCTAAAGGCAGGGATCCAAACAAACGGTTTCGAGATAAATTTAGTGACATAGAAAGAGCTGAAATTTTAAAAAGTTGTTTGGGTATGGTGCCACTAAGATTATTTTGGGAAAGATCTAGCAATAACAGTTTTTTGCAATTTCCAAGACTCAAGGGTATGTTGCCCACTAATCTATTCTCACCCAAGTAAAGCTCTGTCAAGAAAGACAAGTTTCCTATAGATTCTGGAATTTCCCCATAGAATGTATTTCCATCAAAAAATGCCAGTTGTAAATTTTGAAGTTTTCCTATAGTAGTTGGAATTGTGCCCGTGAATCGATTACCGTACAATGATAAAAGATTTAGGTTGACAAGATTACCTATTGCTGAAGGGAGTTCTCCATATATGAAATTTTGTCCAAGTGTTAGATAAAAAAGTTGGTTTGAGAGATTGCCAATGGAATTGGGTAATAGCCCTCTGAATTGGTTAGCGACCAGATCTAATATCTGCAAATTGCTACAGTTGGCCAAAGAGTCAATGAAGTTCATTTCATCTGGATCTCCACTCCCTAAATTATTACTAACTAGAGAAAATTCGTTGAGATTTCGTAGGCCTCCAAAATTAACTCCTAATTTCCCACTGAAATTATTGAATCCAATTTCAAATCTTTCTAGTGCTGTACAATTGGATATTGAGAGTGGAATGGGTCCGGTAAAATTGTTTTGCCATAATTCAAGGACTTGAAGATCAGGGAGCATCGTACCCAAGCTCGGTGGAAGAGTTCCATGAAGATGGTTATTAGGCAAAGAGAGTAGAGTTAGAAACGAAAGATTGTAAATGGAAGGAGGGATTATACCAGAGAGTTCATTGCTGCCAAAAGCCAGTCTTTTTAGGTTTTTCAATTGACCCAAGGCATTAGGAAGTCTGCCCGTGAAAGAATTTTCAGCTGCAGACACATGTTCTAGAGAAGTCAATCTCCCAATGAATTGAGGGAACCCCCCAGTGAAGTGGTTCTGGTGAATGCTGAGAAAAGTGAGCTTTGACAAGGAACCCAGTTCTTCAGGAAGATTCCCAACTAGCTTATTGTCACCTACACCAAGAGACCTGAGGTTGGAGCAGTAGGATAGGTTAGCTGGAATTTCTCCTTCAAAGCTGTTGTTGTATAACAACAATAACTGCAGCCTGAACAAATGACCAACTTGGGGAGGGATTTCACCTTGAAGGGTGTTGTTGAAGAGCTGTAACACCCGAAGGAAGCTCAAGTTTCCGACATAAGGTGACAACGAACCCACTAAGCCTCTAGACGTTAGATCAATGATGATGACTCTACGATGGCGATGACCACATGCAACACCTTCCCACTTGCAGAAATGAAGGGACTCATTCCATGAGCTCACAACACCTTGAGGGTCATGAATAATCTTTGACTTGATGGCTAACAAGGCAAGATGATCTGTCTCATTTTTGTCAATAGTTATCGTACTGGCAGTGGCATTAGGGAGGGTACTCATGATGATATGCAGCAATGTGATGAACACTAGGGATAGTTTTTGTATGTTGAAGGAGTTAAGAGGCATAATTGGACTCATTTCTGAAAGTGCAGAGATATCAAAATAGTGAGGCTAGTTTGAAAGACTTGTATGAATATATCAAGAAAGTTCACTTGTATTTTATATATGAATCTGTAAAAGAGGCACTTTCCAAAGTCTTCCACTTTCTTTCAGAAGTCTACTTTATTTGCAGATAGACTGTGTCGTTAAACTTGGGTTAAATAATTTTCTAAGAATTGCACGCAAGCATGCTAAGAGAAACCACTGAGATTTATCATTTTTTAAGGACTTGTATGAATCTATCAAGAAATATCACTTGTATTGTGACATATGGTTGTTACTTGTTATTGATTATCTTAAATTTAAAGAAATTGTTAAGTTGGAATCTTTCGAACTTTGCAGAGAGGCTTTTTCTGAAGTCTTCGTATCATTTTTTCAAAGTCTACCCTGTCTCTTTCAGAGAGAGTGAGAGAGAGAAGGTAGGGTGTTTTCCTGATATATATATATATCTATTATTATTTCAAAAAACATATATGTAAGTCACGGCCAATTTGTAAAGAGACTACCTATGCCTTGTTTGTGGTGGATTGAAGACTTGGACAATTAGAAAGAATACACAGCACCAGGGCATACCCTGGGGACAAAATTAAGTCCAGCAAACAAGAACGGCTCTGGAAAACTAGACAAAACTACTGGATGAATACAATGGAAACCAAACTAGAGCAGCCAAAGCAGAAGCAAACAATACAGAACTTTCTCAAAGCTTACAACACCACCAGAACCACAAACCAAAAAGCAGTCAACTCAATACTACAACAAGAACTTAATAATTAAACAGCAGCTGGACCAGAAGACGAGCTTAACTTGTTTCACAATGAAGATGAATGAACTAGCTAGTTAGATGCAAGCCTTCTAGTTGAAGAAGAGTCCTTGATTTTAAAACTAGAAGAAGAAAAAGAAAATAAAAAGAATCAACAATGTATTGTGCATGCTTGCCTGGAGCTGCATAACCAACAGTGCCCCTTACTGCAATTGAACTGCTTTGTTTTGGATTTGTGAGTTGTTGAAGAAACCTCGCTACCCCAAAATCTCCTACGTATGCAACCATGTCACTATCAAGTAGGACATTACCTGGCTTTAGATCGCAATGGATTATTGGCGCTTGACGATGATGGTGAAGATACTCGAGTGCAAACATCAATTCTTTGAAGAGGGCTCTGAATTTTATCTCTCTCCATTACTAGATGTTGGACTTGGATGCAACCAACTCTCTAGACTCCCATTGGGCAGGAACTCGTAGAGCCTTGAAATCATTTTGTAACGACCCGAACCCGTGGGTCCGAATCGCTAGCCGGGTCCTTACCCGAACCCGAAAATAACCGAGGGCAAAACGGTCAACTAAGGTGTGCAAATTAATTTCATTGGAAAGCTGACTTAAAATCCTTAAAATTTGACTCAAGAATGAACCCATTTAGATTTGAAATGAGAAAGATATGGCCAATGGAAGTTCGGATTTAAAAAAAAACTCAAAGCAGCAAGGGAGCAGGCTCCCATTTCCATGGAACCGCCTCCTTTTGCTGAGGGAACCGGCTCCCATTCTGATGGAGCCGACTCTATGCTGAAATTTTGTCAAAATAGGCTACTAGACAAGAAAGAGCTGGCTCTGCTCCACCCCAAAGGAGCAGGCTCCACTCCAAAAGAGCATGCTCCACTCCCAAAGGAGCAGGCTCCACTTCATATTTTGACGAATTTAAGCTATTGGACCAAAAAGAGTCGACTCCCAAAGGGGAAGAGCCGGCTCTTCACCTGGGAGGCCTGAAATTGCTATCCCAAATGCATTTCTAAGTTTGTACATTCCATCCTCTCAACCCAACATACATGAATGAGAAAAATAAACAATTTGATAGGCTAATTCAAGGAATTCTACAACATGGCGACACAAGGAAACTTTGATCTCATCATACATTCATCATCATTCTTCCCATTCAACTAAGAAATAATGCATAGTCTTTACATTTTGTCCAATTTTACATCAAAATAGAGTCAAAGGTTGATGGTTACATTACATAGCCATAGTAAGCAAGCTTAATACATTTTCAAGATACTACTTTACGAAAGAATGGCCTCAAGTACGAAGGTTACAAAATACACTCCTAGACCCTTCATGCTTGTGGTGGATTGTCATCCGCCACCTCCTTCTCATGACCTGAAAAATGTTAAATATAAGGGGTGAGCAAATTACTCAGTAGGTAGTGCCTAAGACACACCTCTTGTGATCCCGTGAATCCAAACAATGAATAGAAATAAGAAAACGGGGTCATGCTATTCCGGGGAAAATACCATACAATCTCAAGGTCAAAAACAAATAATGTCGAGCCTTGAAATGCAATGCCTTGCTGTGTCGCTCCCCATTTCAAAATCACTTTCATTCCTCACTTTTCAAACCGTTAACACAACCCGTCCCATGGTGACCCCGTGGCGACATGAGAGAAGGATTGGCTATTGTCCCTAACCCATGGTACCCCCGTGGTATCATTTGGGGACAGATAACTCAACCACGCTAGGGGGTTTTCTTAGTTCCTTCTAGGTCACATTAACGCCGTGGACCCTCGGTACCCCCTTGGCGTCTGGGTTTTCGCAAAACCCTTTATAAAAACTTTTTCCCAAAAACCCCTCTCTTTCATTTCAAAACAATTTTTCCCATTTTCCTTGCCCAATGCTATGCATCATGTTTTTCCCATGTCAAGCCAATATCCATTATCATACACTTAATTTAAGCTCAAATCACATAGCATAATTTTACAAGAAATCCCAAGAGAACATCATGCTTTCACATTATAAAATTTGACAAATTCTAAACATAATAGGCAAGGAATATTTACCAATTAAGCATGTTAATTTACACAATATCAACTAACACACAAAATCATATACTTCATATGCACAATTCAGTTACTTTAAGGTAAAATCAAAACAATTTAAGCATGTTTGACAACATATCACATAGAATTAACTCATAAAAGTGCAAGAATGCATGGATTAGAAACTCCTACCTCTTAAGATGCAAAAACCCCCAATTAATGCCCTAACAATTGAAATCCCAAGTGTGGCCAAATGGAGATTAGCTTAGATCAAATCGAAGAACTCGACGCGCTTTCTAACTTGCCGCAAACGGCACCAAAAATCTCCAAAAGATGAGAGAGTAATTGAAACTTGAAATTGTGAAGGAAAGAAAAAGAAAAAGAGAAGGAAAGAGAGAGAGAGAGAGAGAGAGCTTACGGGAGAGAGAGAGAAAAATGAGGCCAAAATGGTCTCTTTGGCCACTAAAATGCATTAGTGGTGGGCCCCCCAAAATAAAATATTTTTGCTTTAATTTTTCCACCACAATTTTCTTGTACATGGACTTCTTACATTACAACCAAAATTTAGCATTTAAACAATTAACTTATGCACAAAATAATTATGTATGGAATGCAATTGGACCCGTGACACAACGCCCGTACACAAAAATCCTGATAGCGGGTCCCACCAGGGACTGTCCGGCTCAAAAAATGAAAAAATGCCGAAATGGCAACCATTGCATTTTCAAGAGTCCTGAACTCAAAGAAATACCTTAACTAACTCTTGGACACACCTGGCAAACTCCACGGTGTCCGGCACGCAAAACGAGGAAAGACGAAAATACCTTTGAAAAATCAGCAAATTCCAAAAAAAAAAAAAAAAAATGGCGAAAATCGGAAACATTACATTCTACTCCTTGGAAGATTTCGTCCTCGAAATCTATCCTCCTTAAAGAAGGAGACCCATAGCCACACACCTTCTCGAAAAACACATCACCAAACCGCAGAGCTAAGAACTCAACAACCTTGTTACCTTTGACACCCGATGCCAATAGGCAATCACACACTTTCGTTAGAAAAACCTAATGTGGGTACCCATCTCTCACCTCATCATAACACAAGACCAACTAGACCTTACGCCTGACTCAAAACGGACATCGATATACTATACATAGCCACGAAAAACTCCAAAGCCCGAGAAAAGAACAGTCACCAGACCACCGAAAAATACAACATCAAACCTCAACTTATCCTTCTAAGAACACACAAAATCCCAATTCCATACATCTCTGTCAGTCCAAACACTCGCTATCTAACACTTAACTACACCATCACATAACCATACAAATGACTACCAACCACACCAATCGGCAATCACTATACTTGACAACCTCAAGATGACTAAATAATGAATCTCCTAACGACTACATAAACATGAGTCACCAGAACAATAAAACGTACTATCCTGTATCCTAGACACAAATCCTTAAAACGAGATCCTTAATAATCAATGATTGTACCACAAACCCGTCATCGGACACTTGGTCTTACCTAACACACCTCGTTACTCGAGACAACCACCTGAATCCACACTGTCACACCGACATAACTCGTAATTCTGTGCTCTCACTGTTCTTGACAAACTAAAACAATCATAGACCTTTGACCCGACATCGTGCTAAAGATGGACTGACTTAAGAGAAATGGTTGGCCAGGCCATTCTCATCATCGATCCGGTCTCAACACAGATGTTGTTCCTGTCCTCAGGTCTAAACCTCAAACACAATCTCACACAGTCCACAAAATATTCATAAGATCCATTTACTATCAATCCATCGCTATACGTAACCTCAACAACGATAAAGTCACATAACAGCTCTAAAAATCTCAATCATTCCTCAATCATACAACTCGTAACAAGCTAAAAATAATACGGCACCAAACATCACAATCATCTACTAGCATAAAAGATTCATAGTCTCCTCATAACACTCATACCAGGTAAACAACTCCATACATCATTCGATTCAATTCTTACTTCTTCAAAACACATAATACGACCGTCTCATGCCTGAAACCTCAAAATCAAAGTCAATTACTCCAATTATTCCTCAATGGAATCACACATTCACTCCCTAGCTGCATAGCACTTAAACAATACCAACACTTGTCCTCGAGACACTGCTCAAATCAAACATC